CCACCGCTAGGTAAATGCAGGCTTAAGTTCGACGGTCTTAGTTCCGCTGGCAATGAGACATGGGGTGAATTCACCAAGGTAATGATGGTTGATGGGTATAAACTGCCAATCGCTTTACACGTTGTTTCCAACAAAATATTGACGAAGCACGGCCTGTTGTTAGGCACTGATTTTCTGGATCAGGTAGAGTTACGGGTTAAACGAGGCGAAGTGACTTTCTTGCGGCTTGACGAACAGACTAACAAAGACGTGCCGGATGTGTTTAGAATTAACGTGGTAGAACAGACTGACGAAACAGACCTAACGTACCCCACGTACAGGAACCGCATTATCGTGAAGCGAGTCGCGATATCCTTAGGAAGCGATTCGCGATATCGTTAGGGGGTATAGGCCGGAGAAAAAGCGGGACGTTGGGATAACGGCAAAAATCGGTTTAAAGAGTGACAAACCTGTGGTTCGAAGGCCGCGAATATTGGCGCCTTCGAAGAAAAAAGAGGTGGACGAGTTGATGGAATTATAGACAAATGAAGGCATAATAAAACCGTCAAACTCAGAATATGCAAGTCCCATAGTTGTAATTAGAAAGAAAGATTTGTGTGTGCGTGTAGCCAGATGGGCCTTGTTACTAGACGAGTTTAAGTATCAGGTGTGTCATAATCCAGGTAAAAGCATGCAGCATGTGGATGCTCTGAGTAGAAACCTCCTGCCGAGCACTATGTATGTAACGGAGAGTGAAGACGGGCTGATTGCACGGTTGAGTAGGGCACAGAACAAGAACATTGAAGTCCGTAGGATTTTGGACGCCGCAACGTGCAGTCAGGCCGATGGGTATGTAGTAAGAAACGATATTTTGTGTAAGGAGTGTAAGGACGATGAGCTAATAGTAGTACCGAAGGCGATACGGACTCAAGTAGTCAGGCAAGCGCACGAGCACGGGCATTTCGGGGTTACCAAAACAGAAGCTATGGTCAAGAAGGACTTGTGGTTCAAGGGGTTACGCGAACAGGTCGAACACGTGGTATCCAAGTGTCTTGACTGTATCCTAGCCGAACGAAAATTAGGTAAGCTAGAAGAGAACCTGCGAAATTACAAGAAAAGAAGAAAGCGTGCGAAGCAGTACCGAAGGAAGGACCCGCGCACACCTCGCTTCC